TAATTCGCCCATGTGTTTAAGAAATTCACATTTGAAAGGTGTATACGACTGTTTTACATGTACTCATCTCTGTCACACTCTAAAACGTAGTCGAAAATACTGAAATATTTGCTTTTGATTCAGTTCATTTGAATGTAAACAGGTCCCCAATGTTCTTGAATGTGTGCTTTTGTTTGAAATGGTATGTTTGATTTGATTTAGTTGTCTACCTTGCGATAACAAGACAAAAACAGTGGAAAATATCACATTTTCCCTATAGTTCACATTTTCACTATGGTCACAGTAAGATAGCTGCCGCACTCTATTTCCGGCTTCAATTTCTGTATCTATAGTTGCTCTCTCCATTATGTTATAGCTCAGTGGTAATAATAGACACGCTCTCGTAAGTGGTTACTATGATAATGATTTGTGACGTCACATAAACCATGACGTCAGATAGTTACATCCCTCCCTTGTTTAGATGGAAGTTCGTCGAGAATCTTAACGTTTATGAAATAGTATGAAATATTATCTATGCGCGTGGATGAGACAGAGTTTATTTAGATAATTATCAGTGCTGATATTCTGCGTTCTGGAGGTCTTGATTTTCTTTTATGGGTAGCGCCTCATTTACGTATTCCTTCATCTTCTCCTTCTTGTGGAAATCGGTATCAGCGAGGTGAGCTCGTGATGGTGGTTGCGAGACCAGTTCGGGTAGTTTGACGACCATTTTTCGACGACCATTGCTCTTATAACAAGTTTACAATGCCATAATTCTGCCACAATTTGACTACTGTAGCCTTGTTTGGGATACTTGTAGTGTTATTTGATCGAAAGTTACAAAAAATGCAAAACAGGGCTGCACGAGTTATAACTGGTAAATCGTGAACAAGGTCGAGTGAAATCCTAGCAGACCTGGGTGGCTACCATTGGCAAAAACGAATGAAAATAAAAAAGGCAACGTTTATGTACATATAAGAAACAAAATCACAATGAATCTATGATAAATATGTTTAAAATAAGCAACAATGAAGCTCATAATCTACGAAGTAACGAAATTAATTTCAAATTCCCAAAGCCAAGGACAAACTTTATGAAGAAAAGCATCAGCTTTTCCGCGTAACATTGTGGAATGATCTGCCAACCACTGCAAAACAACAAGAGCTAACAATTGCCTCAATTTAAAATATTCTTGGTAGCCATTTACGTCGTATAATTAGTAATTTCTTTTATTTCTTATACTTTCATAAATTATATAATTGTGTGTGTTAATTTTTGTAAATAATGTTAGATTGATTTTTACTAGCGTGTGAAAATCAGTTTTTAGTACTGAAGGGTTACCGTTTTGTAAATAAGGTTAATGACAATAATAATAATATAATAATTATTTTCAAGGTGCGCAGCGCGGAGTGTTTTTTGCATTGTGCGCATAAGCGTTCCGACTCAAAATTGGCTTTCGGCCACTCTGGAGCGATCTTTCCGTGGTGAAAACCCATGCATTGCGCGAATTCGGCGAAGGAATGAGATTGGAATGGTGGTCTATTGTCCGATTTTTATGGATGCTGGAATTCAGTGCGTAGATATGTGGAATGCGGTCAAGTTTCAGGATGACAGTATTTGCAGCGGTGGAGCGAACAATTTCAACCTCCCGATAGCGTGAGTATTCATCGATTGCCACATAGAGTATATCACCCGATGGGAGAGGGCAACAGAAATCTACAGAAAGTTGTTGCCAAGGGGCTTGGGTAACGCGGTCATGCGGAGAGGTTCAAGGGGCTGCTGAATGACGGTTGCTTGACAGGCCAGTCAATCGCTGGTTGCGACACCTTCGATGCCACTGAGGGTTTGTTGGATTGCATTTTGAGTGGGTGTAATATGACGTTCACGTAGAATTGAACGATTACACGCGTAAAAACGCTCAGGTCGATGCAAGTTGATATAAACAGGATGGAGCAATGTTGTGCTGCCCACATTGTTCAGAGTTGTTATCAATATTGAAGAATATTGTTACACCCGATTCAGTTTCAACAATATTGTTCAATGTTTGATAACAACTCTGAACAATGTGGGCAGCACAACATTGCTCCATCCTGTTTATCAACTTGCATCAACCTGAGCGTCTTTACGCGTGTAGGTTGGCGCATGTCGACACAAAGACGAATCGCCTTAGGGTTCCAGGGTTTGGGTGTGACAACGAGGGGACACCCAAGGGGTTAGGCAATCAACCGGTTCAATGATCCTGGCGTTCTAGTTTGTCAAGTTTCGTTTGTCAAGTCGTCAAGCTTTTTGCGAAGATGGAATGGAATGCGCCAATGAGGTTGTGTCACGGGGGGTACGGAGGATCGATGCGGAGATGGACTTGAAAATCTTTTAGCTTGCCAATGCCGTCGAAAAGGTCGGAATATTCATGACGTGTTTGTGCATTGGTCATTGAAGGTGGCGTTGAGATGTTGACATTGGTTGGAGCGATGACAGATAGGAGTTCTAATGCGGTCGCGGTTTTGAAACTCAGTAAACATCTGTTTTTGTCCCGAATGACGTAGATAGTTGCAGGAGTTGTTCGTGTTTTTGATTCAACGTGAGTGGAGAATGTCCCAAGGACAGGTAGTGGGGAGGTACCGCCGTAAGCGTAGATCTTCGTGGAGGTAGGGTATAACACGAGATGTTTATTCACTGGAGATTTCATGATGGTGTGATAGGCCTTTTCATCAATTACATTTTACTAGCGCCGGAATCAATTAACACCTGGGTTGGGACATTGGCAATGAGCACATTAGCCTCCGGCGTGGTTGAATTGCTGATTTGGGAGATAGTGATTGGAAACAGATACTCTTCGTTGGAAGTGGGGTGTGGTGGAATGTCGGAAATGTGGCGAATCGCACCTGAAGAGGGTTGATGTGGCACAAAACTAGGAGGGAGAGGTGAAAAACGTGGTACAACACGGGGGGACGAACATCAGCAAAAGGTGATCGTAAGGTTTGGATCCACAACAACGGGCAAAATGGTTCATTTTTTCAGATGAACGACACTGGGAACTCCGCGCAGGACAGCTGGCTTGACCTTGTGGATGAGGATATGCAAAACCGCAATGACCACTTTCTTGCAGTCCGAATTCATTTTAGCGCGGGCTCTGTGCTTTTAAATCTCGCGCGGTCCGTACGGCCTCATACGGACCGCTCGCGTAGCCAATCAGATTGCAAGAAACGCTAAAATATGAATTCGGATCGCAAGAAAAACAAATGGACCCCAATATTTTCCAAATACGGCGCCATTGTGTCATCCCGTGTCTGTTGTTTCTACTTGAGCGTCTTTTTCGCGCAAGACTTAAGCCGATTTTCCACTAGCGATATTTTTCGCGCGAAGCGACTTTATTGCTTTGTATTTGAACAATTTGTTCCAGATGGTTGCAGTTGAAAGCTCTGAACAAAAGTATGCCGCTCGCTCGCGCGAAAATATCGCTAGTGGAAAACCGGCTTTATTCGCCCACGCGCTAATCTTAATTTTGGCCAATCGGAAAAAACCGTGGTCGCATGCGACATATTTCTGACCATCTTTTTGGCGCTCAGCGGCCGATTCAACTTCCTATCTCTCATTGCAAACTTCAACGGCTCATTCGAATTCCAGTCTCTTTGTGCTGAGGGTGATGAACGGTTTTCTGGCATACGACACGTTACATTAACAAAAAGTGTAATAATACAATAGTGCTTTTATTATGCGTACCCAGATATTTGTGTACGACACCGCACGCATATTCTGTATACTCAATCAAACCTAAACGAATGTATGTATATTCTGTGTACTCTGTGTACATAGAACTCTTGTCGCTGACCAGTCAACTTCATAGGAAAAATAGCAAACTGAACAAACAAATGCTAAAGATGCTTTAATCAATTGTCTCTATTGATTATTTTTGTCTAGCTATATTATAGGTTAATTTTGCCCAGCTATATTATAGATTCTAATTTTTGATCTCTAATATAGCTATCATTGTATTTTTTGAAAACTGTTGGCTGAGCTTTACTGTAGCCGTGAATTTCCGTTAAAACAAGCAACCTTTAAAATGCATTATATTATCATTCCAAACTTAAATTACAGTTACAATAGTATTGTATTTGTATAAAACAGTATTGTCTAAAAATCGCAATATTGATTGTTGTACGGCTGCAAAACGAAAATTATTTTAACGATCGAATATTATGTTTATTTCACATCGTTTGAATTTACACGTCTTTCTTTGAAGGTGATCGAAATTAATATTTCTCATACATTCCTAATCATAGTAAGTAATAGTACGTAATAGTATTATGCAATGGCGTTAGAAGGTACATACAATTGAGAGAAAAGGAATTCACCTCTTAAAATCTCACTTATTGCAAAATTTTCAGTTCTGTTGCCAAAACCCAAAACAACTAGCATAACATTGCGAACAACAACCGATCGCGAAGATCGATAGATCCACAATCCGATAGATAAATCGACGAAAGACTTACGCGGTTATATTGATCGGTTATATTGCGTGATTATCATGACATAGCATTTTAAATAAAATTATTCTAAAACAACCATACAAAGGCATTGCTCGAGAACACTTGAAACGGAACTTGTTTTCAAAGTACCCAATATAATTATGCACATTTTTAATTTAAGTGTAATACAGAATTATAAAATTTTATTAACCAATTTCTACAGACGTCCAAGTCATGAGGATACTTGTTCTGCCGAAAAATTTTGGTTTACATTGTTGAAGTTAGCGGTTACATTTTCACTTACCACATGCATTCTTCGATGTCGACGGCTCAAACAAGTGCAAAATATCACCCACTTGAGGTTTTAAAACCTGCTTGTTTTCCACTGTTCGTTCTGGCTTAAGTGTGAACCGGAGTCTTTGGAGGGAGTGAAGACACGCACAAGGCATAGGAGATATTTAGCCCAATAGATGACAATTATGGACATGCCTGAGTGAATATCAATCATCAACACTGCATAGCGACATCATAAAACTTAAGTTTCCTGGCATTTGAATAATCACGTTCTTTGAGCGACTGGCTGGTTTTCGGCGTCTTTCGTGGCAAGCCCTGCGAAACAACACAGAGTGCAGCAAAACTAAGTTCACCTACGAACAAAAAACAGTTCTATAAAGACAAACTTGGCCTACTACATGTTATTTTGAGTATTATATTGAAGTGGTATTTTAGATAAATCAGTTGTCAGTCATTAATTGGGAAATTAACAGGGACAAAAGAAGTAAGGTTATACGTATGATATCATGACACCGTCTGATTATTTATTCACCGTACGATTTGTTGTTGTCTGGTTTGTGGGAAGTTACATTTTCCTTGCTCATGGTTTTCCAAACAGAGGTATGGTTGGTATAAAAGGTAATTTTCATTATTCGCATGTATAGCTTCAAAGCAAAATGAACCGAGAATCCGCCGTAAATAAGTCCCGTCGCAAAAATTAAGTTATGGATAGACACAATGTTTATGTCGCGTATGCATGTTATGTATTATTTTCAATTCAGGAATTTAATGCGAACTATTAAATATATTAGATTCGAGAAACACTTAAATTCTTTGTAATCTAAATATTTACACAAAAATTTAGTAAGAGCTTGCAAATTTCGGATTATAGGTGAAACTTTAAGTTTTGAGTTATGGTTCTGGCAGTTTAAATACATTGCTTGAATATAATATATAATATATAATATAACTTATATATAATGTAATATAGATATATACAACACTTTCGTTGGCAATGATTACTGCATTAGACCAATAAATGGATAAAATTTTTTATAGCTAATTTCTTCATCAAAGCAGAACCGAGCGATAATTAGATAGATAATATCTATATATATATATTATTATAGCAAATTCACGGCGCCAGCAACGTTTGCCTATGCATGATTTTCAACAGGATAATGTCCTTGCATGCAGACCCGTGGTGTCGAATTGTTATATAATTATTGTATATTATAGAGATAAATATTTAACTTTATGATCTCTTCTTAAAGAAGTTTGTGCCTTTCCAGAATGTTCTCTTAGAGGTTTATCTCACGGCACTAGAGACAAAGCGTTCTTAAGTTTGTATAATTTGATGTTTGTTTAGTTAACACCACTGCAGGTGGCTATCTTTGAGAAATCATTTAAAGTCAATCGCAGCTGCTCAAATAATAGGCTACAGTGACAGTCACAGCATCTTTTCTATTTTCTTTTTTGTTCGACCGCGCCACCAGACAAGCAATTACTTTAGTACTTCTATAAGCTATTAATCGCAAGGTCAACTTTCAGACTTGTAGCAATAATAATTATCATGAAAATTTAGTATCGGGCGCACCGGTATATACGATGATAAATTATTTCGACTGTTACTCGCCTCGATAGCAGATAACTGATAGATTTTGACCATAGCGACCGATTTATGTTTAATTTTCAAAAGTTAGAGGTTAATTCATTTTTGTTTGAAGATGGTCAGATGTCGTCTAAAATTTAAATTCAAGACTTTGCATATGCCTTCTATAGGCGTGAACATTTGTATTTCAAACTGAAATAAAAGACTATAAAATTTAAATCCTTATCAGGAATTTATTATCACTGCATGATCATTATCGATATTGTATATCCTTTCTCTCTGACACTCAAATCCGCTGTTTAGGCCAAACGATGAACCATCGATCTGAACGATCCCCATGATTTAATTTACTATAACTAAATTATAATTATTGATAATATAATTCTTAGTAGATAATAAAATGTAACAATATAACGAATGTAATAATATAACGAATAAAAGGTCGTACATATATATTTCTAAATTCTAATAAACATTTGCATCTTAATAATCGAATATAGTTATACTGATTACTGAATACCGGAAATGCTGCTCATGCAACATTGTGTATGCAGACATGACATGTGCATGGAAAGCATTTCCACAAAATTTACCCAGTTTAATTTCACTTTATTAAATTCCTTATTTGAATATTGGAGACGGTTTGAATATCACGTTAAAGGATAAACTGCGAAGACTGCCAAGTAGGCTGCGTGAGTCATCATGATAAAAGTTCTAGCGACCTTTTTAGTAAATAAGGGATATTATTTCGACATATCGAAAAAAGTATAAAGGTGTAATGATGTTTAAAATCTGTAAGATTTATCACCAGATTATCTCCTTGGTTTATTCGGATACCGAAGCAGAACATGCAGGAAACAACTTGATAAACCTGACTGCTTTAATATAATAACCGTACAGTCAAGTATAATTGTCATACTTATATGTTACTCAGTATAGTTTGTTCTATAAAACCGGCAAATTGTAGAAATACCCAAGGTAAATAAATTGATTACCAAAATGTTTCAAAACGGCCGCTTTATCCAACTACACAACAGCAAAAGTGCATGCCCGCGCAAGCCTAGTGTTAAAATGTTTTATTCTATATATACGCGAGGTAGGAGATCGATAATAACGAAATCATTATGTGAAGCCCGAAATTTATTTTTTTATGGTCATTCCGATTGTTGCAGTGCGTAAAAACGTTGAAAAGTGAAGAAATCAAAGAAATCACGCAGTCAAACTCGAAATTTATATATTTATGGGCGTCCCGATAGTTAAGGTGCATAAAAACATTGAGAAAATATGAAATCATGGTGCCAAACCCGAAACCTATCTATTTATGTTCGTCCCGATTGTTGCCGTGCATAAAAACGTTGAAAAATATAGAAATCATGCTGCATGGTTGAAAAGTGAAGAAATTTAAAAAAAAATTTTATTCTTTTTACGGGAGGTAGGAGATCTTTACAATGAATTAGAAAATGTTCATTAATGTTTGCTTCTGGACGCTCTTTTTCTCTTCTGGATCTTCGTCGTTCCTGTTCTCTCTTTCCGTCGGTTCTGTATTGTTGAGCTTCTTAAACGTTTCACATGGTTTTTACTCCGTAGGTCCACTGAAAGTCTTGGCACAGAATACCTATCAGAAGTAGAACTCCTGTACTTTTTTCGTAAGTGTGATTCGTCAGATTCGTCACTTAGCAAGTGCATTAAATTAAGGCAGTCTTGCGCGCGGCATATTACTAAATTTTGGCAGGGGGTGACTGCCTCAAAAAAAATGCACTTGCTAAGTGACGAATCATGACGAATCACACTTACGAAGAAATAGTATAGAGTTATTCTTCTGATAGGTATTCTGTGGTTCTGGTGTTGTGCATTCTCTTTTATAGTAACGGTTAAGGGACACTTGCACACGTCATCAACTAGAGTGCGCTGATCCTTATCCAGCTAATCAGCGTTGTAAGTTAGAAATGTGGGTTGGCGTTAGAAGCTCGTTCCAGCTCTCATATCTTGTTTTTTTAAGGCATGGACGCACTAGGCGAGTTGATTTTTAGCTCAATCGATCAATACTTAAAAATGTTCACAACTTAAAATATTCATCATCAACAAGTAAAATTTACAAACAATACCTCCGTGAACAATATCTTTCAACTTACACTATTTCCAGTCTTACTTTTATCGAATTAAACGTTTGATGACGTAATACGTAAAAAATGCTCGACCGTGCAGCATATAAAACACAATTGATTGACATAAGGGCTTGCATTTGCCTACAGTACGGGCATTTTTTATAAAATGTTACAGTTGAGCTTAGTAACGACTTCGGACTGTAGATCCAGGCACTTAGTTCTGTCAGGGTGATAAAGATTTTCACCTAATTACTTATTTGATTCCACGATGTGTTGTGCATGAAAGAAAACGTGATTAATGATTGCGAATCGCTGAACAATTATTTACATATATTTACTCAGGCATCTTGTGGCAAAAACCAATCACTAATCCCTGTCATGCCACTTAATTTCTTGTTTTTACAACTATTTTAATATGCCTATATCTGAACACAATAAAGCCTTCCGTAACACTAGAATCAATTTACAATCAATTAATTACAAGCTTCCATGTAGGTAGCCCAAAACTAAGTAGGCGTGTCCGATTTTATACATTGCGGTCATAGGCAGCCCAGAACTAGCTGTTTCATCCTATTTTATTTTCAAATTGATATTTGTTACATCCTTACTTTCACTTGCGCTGTTTCGGCGCTCACTTTGTGTACTTTGTCTATATAATTATATAGCCAAAATAGGAAGGAGTAATTTATCAAGATATTTTGATGAAAACTACCTGCTGTTCACTCCGTCTAAGACTAAAAAACTCTTTTTCAATTTCCTTATAAAACGCTCAATGTTAAACGTTCGATTGTTTCGAGACAGCCTCCATGTAATAATTTGTGTTTCTGAATGTATTCCAGTACAGGTTCCCTGATTTAACTTCCTCCCTAGGATAACTGTACGAAAAACAACAATCCGAATCTAAATGTTCGTATGAACGTGAACGATTTTATAAGTTCCTTGAGAGAACACGGCCAAAATTTTGATCAAAACGTATTTTATTTTATTGTAAAACTCGAAGGTCATTATTTATGGATTAAATGCAAATTAGCGCACAAGCGACAGCCATTTTATCACCAGTTTCTGGTAATGAAATCGTAACCCATGATTTTGCAAGACACATTGTTGCCCTTCCAGGGGCGGACTTGGCCTTTGTTATTCCGGCGTAAATCGAGGCCCGGACGGAATATTTACTGAACTGAGTAGGCAATTGAATTCGTGTGAATACAGAATTTATATTTTTTGACTCCGGTTTTCTTAATGTTTGTGTTAGCGTATTCACGTATTACAATCGCAAATTTGTATTCTACTATTTTCCTCAAAGCAAAGTCCAAATTTTTTCAGTCCACCCCTGTGCCCTCTATGACAAATATGTGTATACTTAGGCCAATAATTGTGTAATTTTATTACGGCGACAGGTGACACTCCAAAAATTAAAACTAGAAGTCCTTATCAGAAGGACAATTAAATTGCTGCCGAAGATCTGAATTAAATATCTCTACTTCTGCTTGGTCAGTAAAATGTTTAGATGACCTTTAGGGATGACACTTACCAGGAATACCAGGGCAACAGTGTGACAGTAATCAAGGAAAAATAACAGATACATACAGCAGTGGCAGATTCAGGGTAGGTCAGGATAAATTACACAGCCTAATTTCCGATTCAAAATATCTTAAAAATAACGCGATTGGTACTTATATCTATAAAGAATACTTTTACATAAATTTTTTTATTCTAGTTTAAAAAAAAACTTTTTGCAGCAAATTAGCTGAATTCATACAAATTTAAAATTACAATAAATTACATAATAGGTTAAATACAAATTTAATAGCTAGATACAAAAACTACAGTTTAAGTCTTATTTTCATTTTCAGTTTTACATACGGGTAAAGAAAGGGTCTAACATGTCTAAATAGTTTGGTTTCACATCCACCGATGCTTTTCAAGGTAACTAGGGCCAGTTGTATAAAAAGATAGTTTACTTTTAGCTATAGTTAGTGGCAGAATTGGCCAATCAGAATAATGAATTTTCTAGTTAACTACAATTTAATTACTTGTGTTACTTAACTGTATTTAAGAGTTTCATACGTATACAACCGACCCTAGAAGTATGTGTATTATAAATATATAAATAATATATGTACAAATTCTCCGACGATATATAATAATAATAATAACTTTATTCAAGTGTCTATGTATTTAACTACAAGTAAGCTAATTGGGGACACTATCTAAAATATAGTTTTAAAATATAGCTGTATATACAGCTAGAATGCGGATGAGTATATTACACATTTACACACATATATAATTGTAAAATTACTAGAATTAGATGAAATAGTTGTTCATAATTTATGAACTGCATAAAGTACAGCAGTTTGTATTGTTCTGCATTTGACTAGCCAGGTCAGTTTTCCTTATGTTAGCTTTCAATGATTTTAGGCTGGGAGCTCTCTTAAATCTACATTTAATTTTGACCATATAATTGGACCTTGATATCTTAAAGAATGTTTTCCGTATCTAACAGTACTAAAACGAGGAATATTAAAGTCATTGTTCCTAAGGCTATATCCAGATTGTTTAATATGGAATAGTTCAGGAACACTAGTTGATGCCAATAAACCATTTTTAACTTTATACATCAATATAGCTATATCTTGTAATCGACGGTTATACAGTGTAGGCAGCTTCGCGCGAATCAGAAGCTGTTCATATGTTTCAGAACTAGTCTTAAAGACTGCACGCAGCGCTCTTTCTTGTAGACGCTCAATCTTTCGACTGTCCGATGCTTTACAAAAGTTCCATACCAGATGGCAGTATGTCAAGTGAGACATGATAGATGTCTTATATAATGTCAGCTTTGCACTACATGGTATCAAATTTCGAAGACGGACGAGTACTCCAACCTTTTGACTAACTCTAGAACATAAGTCACTTATATAGGGCGAAAAACGAAGGTTCTTATCAAATTTGACCCCCAATAATATCATTTGTTCTGTCTTTTTAATTTCTCGACCGTCAATTTGGAGAGAATTTTCTTTATTCTCAATATCGACACTCCTTGGATTTATAGTGAACAGCTGAAACTTTTCTGAGTTAGCAAGTAGAAAGTTGTCTTCGTACCATGTTGATGCAATGTGTCCTTGCATTGTTACTTTGGATTCAACCAATTCATATCTCTTTCCTGTGACATATAGTTGATGGTCATCAGCGTACATATTAAGATTGGAGTCTTTGGCCCGTATTCAAAAAGCTCACTCACACTCACACTCATTGAGTGTGACATATAAATTTTGTTAATGCTGATCAATGAGAAAGTTTTCTCTCAATAGATGAAAAGATATAAGGTAAATCACTGAAAATCAAGCCCCTGTTCGGCTGAAAATACCGCCATTGAAACGTTATGGGCAGATTAAGATCTCCCACTCAATGAGTTTGAGTGTGAGTGAGCTTTTTGAATACGGGCCTTTGACCTGAGATGACATGTCATTTTGGAACATATTCCACAAAAGTGGTCCAAATGCACTACCCTGGGGACATCCAACGTTCCATACAAATCCAATTACTAGTGTCTGATTAAGTTTTACTCTATGAACCTATTCTTGAAAAATGATCGTATTAAATTTAGAGATTCTCAAAGCCATAATCTCTAACTTCTTGATTATTAGTGAGTGGCACAAAGAGTATAATATATAACACAGCAGAATCAGACATCTACTGTCGCTCACACATAAACAAAGACAGTGGCATTTACATTTTCCGCGCTGGCTCTTCAACCCTCTTGCCCTGGTTCCAAAACGTTCTTTTTGGTTTTCCTTTGAAATCATAAATAATAATAAGCGGAAAACCAGACTTCGAATATAAATCTACAGCCGGAAAATAATATATCCAGTTATTAGTTGCAGTTTTGTTATTATAATTAACTGTTCGTGGATTGGCTAATTAGGCTGGGACTGAAAAAGGGCGGTCAGTTTACAAACCACTGAGCCAAACCCGCAGGCGGTCTTTCGCCGTCCTCGCCTTGCGTGATCTCAGGGACCGCTTGCCATGCAGGCTACTTTATCAGCGGCAATCGACGACAGAGAA